AAAGAAGAACTGATTTTAATTGAAGATGTCAACTTTCTTCACACAGACTGGGAGGAAAAAATCAATAGGAATGCCAGCAGTTGCCCACACTTGGCTAATGGCTGTTTCATTTCTCAGTCTCTCAGAGAGCCTTTAAGTAGGAATACCTTTGTATTAGTCTAGTTTTCAAACCACTAAAATAGAGATGTCATTATTGAGCTGTGAATGTAATATGACATGCTTTGATGCAATGAAACCTTACATGTCTCCAAAAATAAATACATCATTTCAGGAAAGCTGATTTTGAAGGGATGAAACAAAACTTAGAGGTAACAGAATGGCACTGGAAGAATACCAATCTTCACACAACTGATCTATGCTATCTAAGCTTAACCTGCTTGATTAATGGGCAGCCTCCTGGCCACGGGATGAGGAGGCTTGAACCCCATTCAGGAGGAGTGAACCAAGAGGGAGCTGCAAGCTGGAGTGGGGGTGGAGGAGGGATGCTTGAGCCGAGAGTGAAGAGGGGTGTTTGTGCTCGATATACAGTATATAGCAAATGTCTGTAATGATGGTAATTAGGGACAGCTGGGTGTGATTAACTTGTCATTGTTATACCTCCCAAACCTCAGTTAAAAACTTACATTTAAGGGGGTAATGCTCAAATTGGGGTGATGTAATTGGTGGAGTACTGCAACGATATGTATTTGGGCCACTGTTCTTCCTGATTTATATCAAAGATCTGGAGTCCGGTATTGGAGCAAGTTAGTCGAGAATTCAGAAGCTAATAACATGGGAAAATGTACAGCAAACACTGTACTAGGAGCAAAAGAAATAAAAAAAAACATATTCAAGATTTATAACAAAAGTTATAAAGTTAAAATCACAGAATGTAAATCCAGGAATATTATGTTAATACTAAATGTACTACTTAGACCTCATTTGGGAACTTGTACATGATTTTGATCACCACATTAAGAAAAACATATTATTGCTGCTGTGGAATCAGTCCAGAGAAAAGCAATCAGATAGACATCTTTTAGGGCTTCAAGGAATGTCTAATTGTGACAGGCTGGAAGAACTGAACCTATTTAGTTTGGAAGGTCAAAGGACTAAATCTTCAAAGGTACAAACAAACTCAACCCAACTGACACAAGGGGAATCAGGGACGTGCAATTAAAACTGAGAACAGGAGGCATTATTTCCACATAGGGTTGTGGGAGTCTGGAACAAGCTGACCATCAATACTGTCAAAGCCCCTGCCCCTGGCAAAGTCCCTGGCTTCTTTCAAGAACCAGTTGGATGAGATCCTCAGATCAGTGACCTCCTAGTAACCAAATGAACTAAATGGGCCAAAAGGCCTCCTCTGCTTTTTAACCTCTCTTATGCTCTTATGTACTTGAGCTGGAAACCTTGTTTGGAAAGCAAACTCATATAAGAAACGTGACATTTGAGAAACATTTTAATCGTTTCCCTTGCGGAATGCAACCCCGCTCCCAAAGAACATAGTGAACGGCCAGGCTCCCATCAGTGTCCCGTATCAAAGCCTTCGGAGCCACCGGCATGCTGACGTCCCCTAATGACGGCTGGAGATTGCTGCTTTTTTAAACAAGTAATTACAAGCAGCTGTGTGCGGCGCCCGCATCTCTGCACAAACAAGAAGCTGAGCTGTTGCTTGTGAGAACTGTAGCAAGCAGCAGCGTGAGAAATCCAGAGAGAACGCAGCTGAATTGTTTTCCAGCCCCGCAATTCAGACTAATAGCCCTTTATGCCCCCTTATACCTTAGGTGGTAAGAGCTTCAGTCTTAGATAACGCACAGAGTCCATATCGAAATTGTGTAAGTGGGGTCCGGGGAGGAAAGAATGCACACAGTGCATATCGTATTGCTCAGCTTTTAATCCCGAGCTTTATCAGAAAGGGAGATTTTATAAACAAAGGCATATCAAAATGTGTTAACACAACTGAAAGCCTGAAGTCCATTTCACTCCATTTTTTCCTTCTCCAGAGTTCTGCTATTAAAGTGGCTAGTCTACATCACACTCCCTTATGTGCATATGAGCAGATCTTTCTGCCCTCATTTTGTATGCTACTCTTTTCATTCAAAGGAAGGTTGGGACCACAAAAGTATTAAAATCACCTCCAACTGGAAGTTTGTACAATGCGCGACTTGATGAAGAACATCAGCATCTTTCACTTGGGAAGAGTTCCCTAATCACACATTCGGGAGAAAATGAATTAAACTCTTAGTTTCTGTTTCAGTGAAAAGGCATTTATGCCTCTGAATATGGCTCCCTTTCTTATGGTAAATCCTACAGGCCTTTGATCAAACTCTAAGCTATTCAGCAGACGAACTTAAGGGGCACTAGTGTAAGAGGCACAGCCAGGAAAATAGATCAAAAAGTTGTCCACTGAAAGGGCAGCTTTTCTGCGCTTTTAACTGACTGAAGATACACATATTTTAAGCCTTACAGTCTCCTCTAAGAGCCTCATACCAAACTCAGAAGAGCATTAGATTGATAGCTTCAGAAATTACACCCAGGGCATGAAGTCAGCAAACAGACTCAGAAGAAGGAATGTTAACAAACTGTAAATTTCAAGAGGCTATTTGATGTACTGTATCTGGAGTCTTTGGTTCTGCTGTCAGTCAAATCTGCTGTTCGTAGGGGATGTGTGTTGTTCACAAAATAACACAGAAAATAAAGGTGAATTACTGTAACTTTGGGTAATGTCCAACAACACAGAGCTTGGCAGAAATAAACAGGAATACAAGGATGAAAAGTGCTGGAGCTGGTTTGAAAAACGATCACATGTTAAACAAGTGCTCTCCCCTGCCTGCAGTGACAAGAAAAGAAAGCAAGAATGCTGCACCCTTCAGTCTCTGGTTCCTGGTTTTGTTAACAGCCACTGAAGAGACGCCCTTAGGTGTTTCTGTAGACACAGCATTTTCATCCTCCCCATTAATACAGGGCAGCAATAAAAAGACAAACAGCATGATATAAAGTTAAAAGCACAAAATGAATAGCGTAGACTCCAGGAGCACAATGTGCATACTAGATTTAAGGGGATCTAAGGGAATCTCACTCATTCTGCTGACTGAAGAAACAGAGACGACATATTTGTGTTGCAAAGTAAAAGAGACAGAAAGAAAAACAACTTTGAATGGAAACTGCAAAGAGTGGCCTGGAACTCAGCTTCAACGTTAAAATAGATGCAAGTTTCCTGCTGCTTGAATCTTCAGTCACCTTTTTCAGTGCAAGCCAGCAGAAAAAAAAACGGCATGGGGCTTTTGTAAAGGCTGCTCTTCCTGTGTTCCCTGAGTGCCCTCAGCGGGAGCAGTTCGGCATATTTTTAAACATTCTCTCAACAAAACAATGAGAAATTACATCATTTATCTGATGCCTCCTGCACAGTGACAGTGCAGGAGTGACAGAGCTCATGTCTCGGCTACAGTATCTCTAGTTACATAATAAAAAAAAATAATTAATTTCAGGTTTTCTCTAGAAGCGAGGAGCGGACCGCCGTAAGCTAAGATTATTCTCTGTGAATCAAAACAATCTAGGAATCTGATTCTCTTCTGGAGTGTGTGTGTGTGTGGTGGGGGGTCGAAAAAAAAACGAGTTTGTGAAAAAGCAGAAAAGCGTTCTGGCTCTCTCAGCTGCTACAAGACTTCAAACATCAAACATGACCATCAACTTCAATTAGCGGCCCAAAACAAACTCTGCTCTGGGATGTTACATGAGAGGGACTTTTTTTGTTTTCCATCAATAAGTTTTCTTTCACAAAGCGGTAGCTCTGATAGCCTTTTCTCATCGTTTTGCTTTCAGCCGTTCTATGAAAATTTCGAGCCGACTATGGAAAAAAACCCAACAAAGAACAATCAAATGCCTAAATTTTACAGACAGTGCCAATGAGACAAAAATCAAATACAGTTTTCCTGGGGAAATGCCTGTGGAGTGAGAGGCAAAAGTTGTTAAATTAGCCAGGTTGAATTCTTAGTTTCTCATTAGCTGCTTCCTTTATAATGTTCTGAGATCAAACTCTCAAATACTGTTCATTTTTATTTGCATGTGCCTTCTTTGCTGGGTTAGTCATGTTTTCTATTGACATCATACAAGATCCAGTATATGTGCTAAGGACGTTTCTTGGGTCTTATGCACACACAGGAGTCTATAAGATATTGAGCAAATAGGACTGTAGACCTTATAAATCATATCTGGAGCAAGTTATCTACTCAGTTACTGAACTATACACTGCACATTTTATCTTTCTGATAAAACTGTCTGGTACTGTAATTTAAAACACAAAATTTGTGAATCTGAAAAAAGATCTGAGAGGTGTATTTGTTTTTAAACTAGCATATAGTGAGCACAGTATTAATCAAATTTGACTTATGCATATATGGACAATGCTAAATACCCTAGCTTGCAACAGAAAGCCAAAGAAAACGCCAACTAAACCTCTGGGGCAAACTCTTTAAAAAAAAAAACCATTTCCTACTCTCTGTTAAGCCCCTCGTTTAAATACATTCATCACCGAAGGTGTGGCATGTCCAGAGGCTCTCTGAATTCACAGACAACCTGGCTGCAAGTTAACTGTTCCTTTTTTAAAAAACAATCAAATAATAGGCATAAATATATCGAGGTTTAGGACAATTTGCTTGGATGTGTTAATGAAAATGTTCACTAGGATTTTTTTTCCAAAGCGATTTATCTGCCAAACCTGGCACTTGAGATCCTTGCCATTAAACACACATTTGGTGAATCTGCCCACATGTAATAATTAAGAAAGTTCAAAGCATTGTGGTTTGAGGGGCACTCCCTTTTGTTTTATACGCAGCAGAACAGCCACAATTCTACCAGTCCTGGACTGAAACTAGCATCTGAGCTGAGGAAGGACAGAACTACTCAAGAGGGAAAACTGGTGATGTGCTAAAAAGGGGGTTGGGAAAAAGGTTGGCGAGCCCACCTGGAAAGATGGATTTTGAGGCATGCATGTTGTGGGCAACAGCTGGCTTACTCACCGTACTGGCAGCGGGATCCCTGGAATCCCTTTGGACACCTGCAGACCTGGGATCCACCCTCTGCACACCTCCCTCCATTGAAACAGCTGCCTGCAGTGCACACCGCTGTAGAGACAGACACAGGAGTCCACTGCATTGGCTGGTGCACCAGCAGACCGACTCTCATGTCTCTTGATGTCCGGCTGCTTTTCATTCATTTCTGCTTCAGCAATTGGATATGTCACTACCCTCACCAGCCACGCCATTTGGAACCCCTTAGTATACTGAATAGACTCTCTCAGGGGCAGGTGAGTCCTGGGGAGTTTGTCCATCTATTTCAGAGTCGGGGAGAAGCTGTAACCTGTCCTGGCAAGCAACGGGCACAAGGCAGGGTACGCCCTTGACAAAGTACCAGTCTGTCGCAGGGCACACACACAGGCACACTCACACCAGGGCCAATTTTCCCAGAATGCTGAGGCCCTAGGTTCAATTCTTGGGGTGCTATCTGTGTGGAGTTTGCTCACTCTCGCCATGTCTACATAGGTTTCCTCCGGATACTCCAGTTTCCTCCCACAGTCCAAAAACATATTTCTAGTTTAATTGGCACCTGGTAAAATTGCTTTTAAGTGTGTATCCCTGTGTGTCCTGCCGTGGACTGACGTCCTGTCCATGGTGTATCCTGCCTTGAGCTTGTTTCTTGCCAGGATAGGCTCAGGCTCTCATGCGACCCTGAATTGGATAAAGTAGTTAGAGGATGGATGGATTGCTAAGTGTGCTGATGTTTGTAGACTGGAAGAAACAAAAGTCTGGTCCAATTGCCTTGAATGTGGAGTAGAGATGGGAGAAAAGCACACAGGGGTAAACCCAAGGCAAGCCACAGCTTTATCGGCTGCAGTGGATTAAAGCCTGCTGCTATTTTTAAAATCCTACAAGCGATTCTATTTTCTTTTTATATTCTTTTTCCCCCCCCTCAAAAGGTAAACTTTGCAGTATCATACTATACTCACGGTGCAAACAGCCCTCTTCATCATTTTTCTGCATCCATCCTGGGCAGCACTTGTACACCGTGTGGATGTCCATGCTGTAAACCTGTCTGTACGCCGTGTAATATCCAGTCCTGCAGATACAGCCCATGAACACGTACAATCACATCGTATCATATCACACTTACTGCTTCAAGTTCCCTCCAAAAATCAGACACAACCTACATGGGAAAATGGATATGCTCGGGGTTTTAATCATATAGCTTCCCCAATCAGCCAGCAGCCATATCACCCTGCGACTCACAACTGGCAACCCACTGAAGCTAAGCTAAGCAGGTATGAGCCTGGTCAGTACCTGGATGGGAGACCTCCTGGGAAAAACTCCTGGGAAGGTTGCTGCTGGAAGAGGTGTTAGTGGGGCCAGCAGGGGGTGCTCACCCTGCAGTCCATGTGGGTCCTAATGCCCCAGTATAGTGACGGGGACACTGTACTGTAAACAGGCGCCGTCCCTCGGATGAGACGTAAAACCGAGGTCCTACTCTCTGTGGTCATTAAAAATCCCAGGGCACTTCTCGAAAAGAGTAGGGGTGGAACCCCGGTGCCCTTACCAATCGTGGCCTCCTAATAATCCCCCTACATTACTTTGCTCTCCTCCCCACTGATAGCTGATGTGTGGTGAGTGTTCTGGCGCACTATGGCTGCTGTCGCATCATCCAGGTGGATGCTGCACATTGGTGGTGGTGGAGGGGAGTCCCCATTACCTGTAAAGTGCTTTGAGTGGAGCGTCCAGAAAAGCGCTATATAAGTGTAAGTAATTATTAATACTACTACTTTTTCTTGACAAACATTTTACACAAAAACTATGTCTATGATATTTAAATAAATTACCAGCATAAGTAACTAACAACAACTGTTTTAGCAACTAAAGATACTCCATACTAATCTTAAAATGTTTTCACATCTACAATTTGTTTCCATACCTGAAAATTCAATTTACCTTCGTTCGTATCCCATACACCACCTGTGTCCAGTACAGCCCTGCTTCCACATTTTCACCATCCGAGTGAAGGCCTGGACACAGGGCTGCCGGTGGCCCACCAGGGCCATTTCCTGCTCGGCGCACACATTGGGCCTGGAACAACATGGGACACCATTTCATCTGCTGCGACTGACCACAGTCTGAGAGAGGATCACACTGAAACCTTTCATATGTGCCAGCTGGACCTTTTGAAAACAAGCATTAAAGAGGAGCACAGTTGTAGAGTTGATCTAAAGTGACTAACTGATTTGCTGTAAAAAAAAAAATATTTGGCCGACATTTTGGAACGGGACATCTGAAGGAACTACTGAGGCAACAGCTCAATTATTATTCCATTATAGGAAAGAAAAAAAGAAAGGAAGGGTTATTCCTAAGACTGTTATCTTTTGTCTGTGAAGGGGTGTTCTCCTCCATGCCTAACATGCAAACCACTCTGGCTTCCAGGTAGAGATAAGAAGGCTTACAAATGAAAGGATATGGCCCATCTCGCAAAAGGATCTAGCACTGATACAGTCAGGCACAGCACAGCGGCTGTGCAGACTTCACTGAGCTAAGAGAATGCGGAACAGGCAATGCGGAACAGGACTCAGGCAAAATGCATTTAGCAGCAATCCGAAACGTCTGCTGAGCATTAACAAAAAGGGCACGCAGGTGACAGGGAATGGAAAGTGCGCTAGTACACTAATCTAAGTTCCAGGAGGTAAGCTGCGCTCCAGGCAAGGTGAAATATGGGAGAAAAAGAGTCCGATTTCTGACCCTGGAATTAATCATATAGTACCCAGATGTCTAATGCATGACAGGTGCTGAAAGCAAGAGCTCGAGACAAAGCACAGGTCTTGTCAGGGGGCTGGGTAAGCCATGTGACCCCATTGTGAGGACATGCAAGCTAGGAACCTATGACACCTCAAAATCCCGGGACTTTCAATTAAATATCTGGTTGCAGTGTCATGCAAGTAACTGTTTAAAGGATTTACTCTTAAATTGTTTAGAAATGTTTTTATTGCTATAAAATATTTTTTATTACGATCCACTGGATCAGTTTAACTAGAAAAAAAAACATTTTGCCCAATCAGCTAGTGTTGTATCTAGAACTTAACTAATTCAAGATTTTCACCCAGTTATTTCTTGAAGGATTCCCTGCCATGCCTTCTCTATACCTACTTAATTCCAAGAGGAATTAAGACTTTCCAAGAAATATGTATTTTCCCAGTGAAAATACAGTTTGACTAGTTACTCAGTTGATGCTAAATCCATAGGAATTAACAACAATAACATCCCAGTGCAGAGAGGACTGGTACCACAAACATGCAGACAGAAATAGCCTCACTCCCACCACCTGCTGTTTCCAGACCTCCCACGGTTTGTCTTCATTTATGGCTTAAATTGCTTTCCCACATTACACTCTGGTAAGCCAGTCCTGTTGTATTATTGTCAGAATGGCTTCTTGATTTAATAACACAAGTTTTGTACTGTCCCTAAAGGCAGACTCATGGAAAACAGCTCTTTGTTCAGCTAAAGAATTAAAAGGCACTTTTGCTCTTTTTGTCCACCGTTTTACTACAGGTCAAGCCAGAGAAAAACTCTCTGAACTGGGAAACAAAAATTAATGTGCTCTCAACAGCCCTCAACCCCACACACTATTAAATAAAATATTAAATAAATACAGCTTTTAGAGGGGTTGAGATGCACCTAACCAAAAACCATGAAATATAAAGAAATTAACCATTGCCCCTGAAAACATCCTGTTGACCAAAGGAAATGACAGAACATAATAAAACATCTGTATAATCTTACCAAGTTCAGCCTAGCTGTTAGGTCCAGCTAGAACCTGGTTTAACATTAATATTGCTCAATCTTTCCAGCTTTTGCCAATTTGGTGAACACTGAAGATCACAGAAGCCTTCTGAGAAAGGTTCTGAACACTAAAGATTAATTATACCAACTGAGGAATCAATGTTCATTAATTTTGCTGCATCAGGTATAGCTGAGCAAAACAATGACAACTGGTTGGCTGAAGGCTCTGATGAATGGGCAGCAATCTTCAATCATTAAAGAATAGTCCATTATTAAGTATACTTCAGGCCCTTAGAATGAAGCAAATAGATGCTGATATAAGTGCTCATAGTGGCTTGGATTCCATTATGTGGCAGAATGTACAATTATTTCATATGAAGCGAAGTTTATCTTTATAATAGCCAGTCAAAGAAAGGCTTTCCTTATCCCATTCTCTCTTAAGGAAAGAAAAAAATGCACTGAGGATCATGGCAAATAACATCCCACCTGGAGCCACGCACCACTAAAACATTTAAAAAATCGGATTTTCCATGAATCCCTTAGTCGGACCGAAAGGCCAAAGGTTAAATGACAATATCCTCTTTCCCTAATAAGTGTCCCAGACAATGATTAGGCAGAAATGATTAAAATTAAGAGGGAGTCCTAGGGGAAATTCAGCACAAGTGAAATGTGCACTGTTAGAGACATCTTCTAAAACACCAGAGGTAAGAATTCTCCAGGTTTCATCTTTCTTGTTCCATGATGATATTTACTAGCCACATCTGGTCAACCTGGATTTCACTGATGCTGTTACAATCATTATTGTGTTCAAGTAACTCCCTCTTACTGATCAGTGCTGATTTTCCTATGTGTAAACCACTACATTGGGACCTCGTCAGGAATTCTTCGAAAATCCTAATTATCTTCTCTTGTTAATGCTAGATGTATAACATTATTATATCAGTCAACTATCATTAATTAATACAGTACTGCAGTAATACATTGTTTTAATACACTGTTTCTTAGGGTTAGCATACATGTTTGAAAATAAAGGACTTTCCAAGCTTATTCTCTTTACGATGTGTCATTTAAAAACAACAACAATATTATTTATTATTACAAAATATGCAACTGTTTTTTACTGTAAGAAAAACGATTAAAATTCCATTACCAAACGCTAAGATCCAGGCTTAATCATACGGACTTGTCTGGGTACAAATTAAATGTTTCGTTGAACTTGCAGTAAAATTCTGGCAGTTTAATTTCTAGATAACTTTTTGTAAGAGATGTATTACTATCCACAAATATAAACTGTTTCCGATCTTAAACATTAAACGAATTGAGCCAATAAATAATTATATGAGTAAAGTGACTTAATTTTGTAAGAAGAGAAAAAGCTTTCTAACTTTTTCTTTCAACAACGCAGTGGTCTGCCAGCGTTCATACAACATCTTCAACGATATACATTCTTCACAGATACGAGAAATGATGAAACACAGACAGCGACATCTAGCGATGCAACAGCTTGAGCTGAATCTTCATTCATATAAGTAGTTAAGAGGAAACCAAGAGGATTTGTTGAGGTTGACAAAACATGTCATAAACTGACAGTTAACCCACCTAGTCACACTTGAAAATTTAGATTAATTTTCAATGTCTAAATCATAGTAATAATATGGAAAATAATAACAGGTTCAGAATAGAACACGCTTTCAAAAGTATGCATTCTGTATATTTTTTAAATGTAAAGAGCTTTAATTATTTGTGTGAAACTGGTCTTTCCTGTAAGCTTTTTCTTTGAAAAAAAAGGGGGATTGCGTATTTGCATCGTTTCTAATTTAATTTAAAAAGGAAACTATATCGGACTGAGAAACGCATGCTCTTCAATGCGCGAATATATTTTGATCGTTTACGGAGATGCGCCAACAAAATTAAAACAAAGAATACAAGAATCGGACTGACCTTACCAAACAATTTAATACAACAACAGCAATGCACAGCTAACTACTCTGTTATACTCGGGGAAGTTTTGTCTGTCCGATTTTAATCATTGTGACTGTTTAAATAAAATGCCGGCAAAAATGCTTCACAACGCATCTTCTTTTTGTGAGTGTGTCCGTTTTCAATGTACAGGTCTGTCATAAACATTGTTTTATAAAAATGTGTTAGACGTTAAATAGAAAAAAAAAACATGTATGCGAATTTACTTACATGTCAGGTTGAAGTTCCGCAGAATGTGTTATTTGTGTTGCGTTGAAAGATAATAAAAACCAAACCAAAATGTCAAAATATTTCATGATGTACCCAAACACAAACCAAAAACGAACAGAGAAAAAATGTGTAAATCTGTAGCTTTGGATATTGATTTCCTTCACATCAGTCCACGAATCCCGTGACGCCGGCTGAGCACCAGTTTTCCTGCTTTGAAAGTTTTGGAGCGGGGAAATAAGGTGGCAGAAGCTGGGCTGATCCTGTGTGCTTCTTTATTGACGAGAGCCAACACTGGAATCTTGTCTCCCTCCCCTGTGTCCCTCCTTCTATCCGGTGAGGAGAGGGACTGATCAATCACTCAAGTCAACGCAAGACCTTCTCAAACTCCACCAGCGGAGGATCCGTGTGACCGCCACGCACCGTGGCTACTCAACACTAATAACTCGCTTTTTGAATTATTTAAAGAGACGCTTTGAGTCCCATATTTACAGGAAGCACGTGGAAAGGTTTCACGATTTGGAAATGACATTATTTCTCTTATTTGGGATTTGGCAAATTATATTAAGTTTCGATACACACTTTGCGATACAATTATCGGTTTGTTTTTGTGTTCAAAGTGGTAACTGTGTGAAACACTGAACATCTGTCATAAATAATAACTTGGTCTTTTTCTACTATTGTCCTTTATCTGCGAGACAACGTATGCCGGTAAATAGTCTCGTTATTTCTCCATTTATTTGATAATTCCATTATTGTAAACTACATTTAGCATATTAATACACATGCTTTCAGCGATTGTTTTTTCCTAGCACCAATGTAAAAATAATACCAATATCATCTAATAACTGATTTGGATGTACAGTATTATGTACAGACATCCCTTTTCCCAATGAAGTAGAAATCCGACTCACTGCCCATTTAAAGATCATGCTCATCAAATAAAATTGGCTAAAGTCCACTTTGCCTCCCCTTTTTCATGGGTCACTCGGTACATTTCTAATACTTCTAATTTACAAGCAATTAAGTTGTGTCATTCAACTCAATAACTGAATAACGTGTTTTTTGTTTTACAGTTAACTCTTTGTTGGGCAACAACAAAAACATCTGTCTCGCTTGGTTATTAACCACCCACGTTTGAGCTTTGTCTAGTAACTGAACAACCGAAGAGTTTCACGGTACAGGCTTTAACAAGTAGACTTGAGTTGTTAAGAAGTGTTTGATACTCATTTGTCTCACACAGAATAGGCTGTATGTAGGATGGTGCGGTTTCGTTCACAAGAGTACCACAAAGTCATCCCAGTGTATCTTGTATCCATTAAGAGAAACTGCATTTTCGCGCAAAGGTGCGTCTAAGAAATTTTGTTAAACGGTGATCTCTCGCTGCAATCACTTCGATACTGGAGGACTCGTAATATATTCCAATATCCAGCACATCCTCAGTCGATGGAAAAGATCACCTATTTTAAGAATTCGATCACCTTCAATGATAAGTATTTACTCTAAAAAGATTATACGTGATTCTGTTATAAATAGAGCTAGCTGGATTGAACGTGAAGCATTTTTTTAAATCAACGTCTCTGTCACGTCGACACAGTACTAAGAGGCATAAGCAACAAGAGATGCATTTGAAAGTCCTCAAAAACAAAGACAAGTTGTCAAACATTGATTTACTGGTTTGGCTGCTACAGCTCCTAATTTTTTAATTATATACCACATCTCTTCGAAATCTATTGTACTGATCTGTACTGATTTGACAAGTTTAAATGGAGTTGAATTGGAGTTGAATTGGAGTTAAATCTGCATGACGTATAACTAATATAGAAACAATATCCTTCTGTTTTAGAACGGCAAAAAATGAGCACAAGGCAGATACACCCTAGACGGGACGCCAGTCCATCACAGGGCAGACGGACACAAATACAGACACGCACACACTTACATCAGAAATTGTATAGGGCTAATAAAGAAACATTATTAAAAAAAAAAGTATGTCTGGACCAATAGGAGGAAACCCCAGGAAATGAACCCAGGGCCCCAGCTCTGCTAGACAGCAATGCTAACTTCTGCTAATGCTATCTTTTTATTATGCTCTCAAGCTGAAAACAACTGCAATGATGGAATCGTTTTTAAATGCACTTAAAAGTCCAATAACCAGGAGTTTAGACATTTGTATAAACGGATTAATAGGTTTGATGGGGTTAAAAAAATTGAGTTGCTATTTGTGGTGTTTTCCATTTGGGGTTGCTGTTGTTCTCTTTCCTTAGGATGTCCCGGCTACCCCAGAGTGCCTAACGTTCTGAGTTCAGAGAGTGCAGGCTTCCTACCTGCTTGTAAGGTCCGCTTGGGAACTGCAATGCTATTTTTATATTCTGGGGTTAGAAAGAATCAGCGCTGATGAGTGCATTTCAAACCACAATAAATGCAAAATGTACAAAGTAACTTGTAAAACCTCCAATTTATATCACAAAATAGACTACATTTACAGGTATGCACAAAATCATATAAAGTGATTTAGAAAGAGGCAACAAAACATCCAGTAGTGTGAAGTGGCCCTATTACACTGTCAACAAGCAGGCTTGTGAATACGTCTCTTTAAATCCAATAGAAATACTGCTCTTGACTTTGAGACGGTTTTATTGATAACTGGAACTTGCTTGTTAACTCTGCATGCAGATCACGTTGCAAACTTTCAGGGGTGTAATGTCTGTTGCACAACCTGTACTTTTTCGCCCGTACATCGCATAACATTAGTCATTAAAGTGGCTAGCTGTCACGCCCTCTGCAGCCAGAGGGCGCTCCTTCTCCGTCCTGTCCCTAGTTTCCGGTCTGCTGTCCTTCCTGTCTCTCTCTTTCCCTTGGGCTATATATTTCCGGGTCTTGCACTCTGTCCTGGCTCAGCATTGAGGTTCGGATGTCCTGAGACCTGCCTAGCACCAGGGCGCCCCTCGTCAGCTCCCTGAGGGCATAGGTTTCTATACGGCATTCTTGAACTCTTTGCACTATGAGCCCGGGCCTTTTTCCCGTCTCGCCGCTACGCATATGGGTCTTTTTACGCTCTCCTGCTCCCCACGGTTAGTCCCTTTGGACGTCCGTGACACTAGCGAGCAGGAAGGGCCACATCATCGTGGGGGTTTTCGCCTGTGGCGAGACCAGGGTTTGAGACAACATGGCGACTTTTACAAAGTTCATGATTTTGGGCTTAATTCCAAATGTGTAAATTTTTTCTATATCGTCAATGAATTTATTTTGTTACTGCGATGTAATAACCAGTCTGCAGTTCCCCTTTAATTTTCAACTGACAGAGCGCTGCCAGTCTTCAGATCTCATTTCTTCAGTCAACGTGGAAGAGACCGCAGTCCGCATCTTTACAGAAGCTGTGAGGTGCTGGGGTTGAGTCAGGACAACACACCGGCGGTGAGAAAGGGTGAAGAGGTAGGAGAAAGTCATAACAACAGGGCTGAGAAAAGAAGTGACAGCAGGATAAGACCGCAGTAGGAGTGAGACCAGAGTGAGATGAGTAGGGTCTCGTTAGGACAGGCTGAAACAGTGGAAGAATATGGAAGGAGAAAAAAAACTACCGAATTGAAGGGTGAGGCGGAAGGAGAATGGAAATGGAAAGAGTTAAAGGAACCAGGGAGATGTGTCTAGAAACAGACCATGCAGGGGAGGAACAGTAGAGAGGTGAAGGGGCAGGACAGCAGAAATAAGTGAAAATAAGAATGACAAAGAAATAGAGCCCAGGTGAGGGATCCTGTGGACAGGGGGAACAGGAGAGGAGCCGAAGAGGTTTTTACTCTCCACGCATGATGCTGTGGGCACAATGAAGTTGATAAACACAACACAGAAGACAAGCATAACTGCAATTCATACTGCCCACCAGCAGAGGGAAGACTAGGCCTAGGTTTCACTCAGTAACCCCAGCAACCACATCTGTGTAGTCCCATCCTTGAAGAAAACAGAATTACAAGAGGCTTCTGGGTATATGCTCATTCTAGTTGAGATAATATGATATATTACAGTCCAGTATAAATCAGGTCAATCTGTAGTGTGGTATGAGAATAAATAAACGGTAACATTATATCTAGAAAAGTACAAAATCTTCTGAAGAAATAGCAAATAGAAGACTAGCAAATGTGAGGAAATGTGTGACTTTTTTAAAACTGTGGTTTTCCAAAAGAAGTCATTCTTATAGTAAAATCAAGAGTTTCAGACATAGAATGCTTTAGCCAACTGAAAAAAAAAACTTAGAACAGAATTCCTAAAATCTCCACTCTAACAAAATAACAGTATAGGACATTTAATAGCACCTTGCAAATCTAAAGTCACTCGCATCATTGATTTTTAAAACACCACCACTGATTCAACATAAATAGACATGAATCTAAAGAAATGCTTTGTCCACAGTGAGACTCTTCCCTTTGTATTAGGTTATTAAGGTTACCTAACCTCATTCAGTGGGACTTGAGGGACATATAGCAGTCTGAAGTCAGACTCAGAATTAGTTTTATTCTCTTTGCAGATGGATTACCATTCTTACTGTTATATAAAATATTACTGTGCCTGTGTAATGAGGGTAGCATGCTAAATATTCAAATTAATACCACATCGTTTCTAGCTGTCCAACACTTCAGTAGTGATAGAGTCACATAATAACCCCAATATGCAGGACCTGTAGCCCACTATGCCACCTAACAATTTGAAGGGTGCTGGGACCCTTGTACTCAAAGAACAGATACTTTGTAACCAACAGTGCAGATACAGAGCAGTACAAGACCACATCACTATAGATGTAACCAGTAACCAGTACAATCTATAATGACACACACAAAAGCAAACATATTAAGTTAATGGTCTACATCAGTGGTTCTCAATTTTTTTGGACCAGGTACCACCCCTAATCCAACCAAAGCATCCAAGTACCACCTACAAGTCATC